GGCAAAAACCAAACAATCATTGAATACTATTTTTTTTTTTAATTCTTCTCTCAAACTAAGTTGAGTCTTGGGATCCACCCATTTAGAAGCTGCCGCCTCCGCCCCTGCCAGTGATCACCGCCGAGCACTTGGATCATCCTACTAATATGTAATATTATATGTTGCGTCAGCAACAAGTACTGGTGCAGCAAGTGAAGAAGTTGGCGAAGCAGCACAACGTGGCGTCGCTATCTGCACGTAGTTTCAACAACCAAAATATCATTACCTACATCCAACCAACCATTTACTTTGGAAGCCCATTCAATTACTTTGAATGCAGGGTTTAGTGTTTGGTTCGTTGGTCGGCGTAGTAATAGGGTAGTCTATTTGGTGGCTAAAAAGGCCCTTTTTTTGTACCCGATAGCGAGTCGTTCTTTTGATTTTGTAGTCTGGTTAAGGCAAGTGGTGTAATGATTTATTCTTCAGTATCAATATATGATTATCTTTTGTCAAAAAAAAATAATTTGATTATGGAAGTAATTTTCTTTCTTAATTAAATGTAATTATTCCCACGAAAGATAGAATATTCTAAATTTTTGTTTTTATAAATAAAGCACTTTCTAGACCCTCTAATACAAATACAAATATACGAAGAGCAGAAACACGAGAGAGAATTAGAGTCAAAGAGTCTTATTTTTGCACAAAACCATCGAGCAAACCAAAAGAGTGGTTTTGAATTTTATCCTGGAGACGAATAGCTGGCTGATAGTCTATTGTGTACAATACGAGGCATCAGTTCCGCAAACGATTTAAAGAGATAGACTTAGTCCGCGACTCAACCAGATCGGTAACCCTATTTTTTCGTTCCATTTATAACGGTAATTATATACCTAGGACTTGGATCGGGAGAGAGGATTTATACTATATATGTCCATTCCTTTCCTTAGTAGTGAAAATGAAAGATAAATATAATTCAAGAAATACTCTCGCATCTCTCTCAATCTTGATATCGTCAGAAAATCATGCAGCATGCGTACGTTGAAGAACATCAACGACGTTGACAAATAATCAAGTGAAAATTAAACTACTCAAGGAATCAACAAACGATTTACTTTTGTGAAAAAGGGGTGATGGAGATGAGGCTTTTCCATCACTGTTGGAGGATGATGGCAGCAATGGAGGATTCGCAATCGCGGCGGAGGTTCGAGACGCAGCAGTCACCGTTGGAACAAATGCTATCAGCCAGCAGCTGCAACAACACACCATTAACACAGCCACAGCAATCCACACTCTTTCCTGTTTCCTCTCCATTTATCTGATCATATGCTTGTTCGTTTTCCTCTTTTCCCCGGTAGCAGCTAGCAAGGATGGTATTTGTAGGATCTGGAGCCTGCCTCAACTTTCCTAAACTACTATTAATGTTGGTTGGTTCAGCACCAGAGCTAGCCGAGCAAGGATCTGTCCAAGCAATTAAGCGCTCATTATTAGTATTCCAGATTCTGGAGACGATAGGACTCATTATTAATTAATAATAAACATGCCATATGTTTTGTTTTGTTCCAGATTTGTATGTGCTTTTGTGGGGTTTCAAAGGAGAGAAATTACTGTGCCGTACGTCAAACATTGGATCGGATGCCTTACGTGTACAAATGATTAACTTGCAGCGAGATGAAGTACCTCTTTTCTCAAAGTCATCAAAATAAATTATTCATATTAATTGAAACTAGTGTTAGCATACTAACAAAAAAGGAGAGCGGATCCCATGATTAGGGGGTCCTTAGTCACTTGACTAAACCCCTCCTAGCCATTAAATCTGGACACTTCAATCCAATGGTTAAAAAATGGGAAGGGCTATTTAATTCATGACAGGGGTAGTTTGGGTATTATGAAAAATTACGAAGTATACAAACTGGATTTACAATCAGTACAAACCATACAAACATACGAACAGTACAAACTAGAGCGACAAAACATACAAACAGATTTACAAACATTACAAACGTGTGAACTGTACAAACAATACAAACTAGACCGACAAACAATACAAACCATACAAAAAGAAAAAACAACCGGGTTGACTTTGGAGGCTCCATCCCTATATAGAGGGGCTCCTTCCCAAAGTCAACCCGGGTGTTTTTTAGACATACAAACATGGTGGACAAAAATGACAAACTAGACCAAAAATTCATACAAACTGGAAAAACACCCGGGTTGACTTTGGAGGCTTCATCCCTATATAGAGGGCTCCGTCTCAAAGTCAACCCGGTTATTTTTTAGACATACAAACATTACGAACATGGTGGACAAAAATGACAAGCTAGACCGACAATCCATACGAACTAGAAAAAACACCTGGGTTGACTTTGGAGGCTCCATCCCTATATAGAGGAGTTCCATCCAAAAGTCAACAAGGTTGTTTTTTAGACATAAAAAAACATTACAAACATGGTTGACAAAAATGATAAACATGGTGCACAAAAATAACAAAGTTTACAAACATTACAAAAAAACCCGACAAACATTACAAAATAACAAAGCGTACAAACATTACAAAATAAACCTACAAACAGTACAAAGCATACTAACAGTACAAAATGTCACTAAAAATGACAAACAATACAAACCGAATATATACAAACATTACAAAATAGCTCTCTCTATCTCTCTCAGGGGAGGGGGAAATATAATTATCATCCTCTCTCTCGCAAAAAAAAAAAAGAAGAAATGGTGCCCTGTGGAATTCAACAAAGGCCCGCCGAGAATAATTATTCCCCCCTCTCTCTCTTCGTAAAAAAGCCACCGTCAAGAAAGGCCAGCTATGGGCCCAACATATTATTATTTTTATTTTAATGATTAAATAAATAATTTATATAATTACTACAATGTCCTTTATTAAAATGGATTAATCTGAACCATTAAATTTTAATGAGGTGGAAAGGCTGAGATTGACTTAGTAATGTGACTAAGGCCCCCCTCTTAGTCACCTGATCCTAGCCCAAAAAAAGAGTTAGCGTCCTAATCCCTTCCTTTAACACCTAATTCCTAACCTGTCCTTTTTAGGAAATGAAGAATCGTCCTTTATGTGATTATAATATTTTTACCTCACATAATCATACAATTAGAATGATTGATGAAGTTGCGTGAATGGTACAGATGATTATACTTGAAACAATTAAATAAATTTGTACTCGATCATGCATATATAGAATGCGAAATTATTTCATGAGTAACTAGGTAGGCCCGTTTCACATATATGGTCTTATTTCTTGGGAGAAAGTAATATTACAAACAAGATGCTTATTATACTTGCATCATTATTATTACAATGCTTGTCTTCAAAGTGTATTCACCTTTTTTATTGCTTGAAACAGAATTAAATTAAAAAACAGTGTGACGAGAGAAATTAAACCACTTTTGCCAAGATAAATTATATTAACTTAAGCAAGCTTAACCTTGGAGTCATAAGCAACTCCAGCCTTCCAGAAGCGAGGAATAACGTCATCCAGCTTGACGAGTTTCACTGCTCCTCCAGAGGCAATATTCTTGAGTTTCAGCCTCAACGAAATCGTTCCCTTTGGTGGGTTAGGCAGATCGTAAACGGCGCCGTATGCATTCCTCATGTCCTTCCATTGCTTCACACTTCCGTCATAGATTTGGATGCCTAAAACGTCGTATTGGCCACCTTGGTACAAAACAACAACAGACAAGTATTCCGCAAACCTGCTCTGCTCCGTTACCTTCACCGTGAGAGTATCGTGGCCCGGATACTTGCACGGAATTCGCTCGTATTTGACGTCGACGACACCTTTTGGTAGCAACTGGGAAGCCTTGTTCGGTAGAGCCATGGCTTCGAAGGCGTGGGAGCTGAGGATGAAGTCCGTGTTGTCTCCGTCTCCGCGATCCGTCACCACTATTTTCACTCCTTCATTGTTGCAGATGCCTTTTATCCCGCACTTCACTAGATAACAAGCGCCACAGGCAGCTCCATTCTTCCACAGCTTGCTAGATGCCGCTGCGACGTTGCCGTAGTTGTAAGTTACACCAGTTTTGGCATAGCCACAAGCTCCGCCTGGCGTTCCTAAGCCATCGGCCATGCGGTAGTAAGCGACTCTGCCTTTCTTAGGGGAAGTGGGGAGAGATTCAGGATGATCATGACCCAATGCAGCAGGCAGAAGAACCAACAGGCAAACAACGAGACCGAGAAACAAACCCTTCATTATTTCTATGTCAAATTGCCGCAAATGGATTATTGAGAGAGATGAGGTGTGTACGGTATGGAGAATGGATATGAAGAGCTTTGAAACAGGAGTAGACGGTATTTATAGATGAGAGCCTGGTTTGGATTTTGGAGTATTTTGCTGTTAGTTTGATGATTAATTATATACGGATAAGTACGTTTGGATTTTGGAACGTACGTCAGCCAATGGTTTTGATCTTTCGTGTTGCCTAGCTCAAACGGTCAAACCATGACTGGGAAAGGAAATGGTACACGTTTTTATTTCTGAATCACTTCACGATAAATCTTGGTCATTGGATTTGAAATGAAATGTTGGGTTGCTTATAATCAAGAAAAATTAATGGGCCGCGTGTGGTTTTTCATGATTGGGCCGTGTTGTTTAGGAAAGTACCTACCATTACCATGCACGTAAGCACGTTGTTTAGGAAAGTACCATACATCACATGGTCCAAAACCTGAGTCCCGAATCGGAGGAATAAAAAAAAACACAACGAAGTCGGATGGGAGAGGTTATGGTGGATACTTAGTGGTAGTAACCATAGTGGTTACTAGGGATAAGAAGGGTATTTTGCTTCCATCCTAATTCAGAGTCAAACTATCATTTTAATTACGCAATTAATTAGGAAAGGATAATTATGGTAATTAATTATTAGGTAGTTTAATTAGCGTAGGGTTTTTTGAATGGCACGTTTTTTGGCCGGCCCTATTTCTGCCGCCGTGGACTCTTCGAAGTCCTTCTTTTTTTGCCGGAGTTGCATCATCGCCGACCTCCGACGTTGCTTCAATGGCGACCGCCGACGTTGCATCATCTCCGGATGTGGTAGAGCGTAGAAGGATGGCAATGGAAGTGTTGTTCGGAGAAAGTCCTATTTCTGGTGGCGAGGAAGAGGATATGGGGATCCAAAGCGACGACGGTAAGTATCTAAACCATTCATGATTGTATGCTTTTGCTTGAATGGCAAAAAATTAACATCCCTTTTGGTCGGAAATCCTTGCAAAGGGTCTGGTATCGTCGGAGATCAATCTGTGGAAGAAGGCTTTGTAGGCGACGCTTGTGACAATTCCGACGAAGGTGAAGGTGAATTTTTCCATGCAGTGGTAGTCCTTTCATGCAGTGGTAGTCCTTTCATGGAGTGGTAGTTTTCTGCATACATGTTTCGGATTGGTATTGTTACGTACTTGTTTAGGAATAATGGTAGTCCTTACATTGGTATATGTTGGATTGCTATTGGTAGTTCGTATCGCATTGGTATTTGTTTGATTGGATTGGTATTGGTTCTGATTTTTGTATTAGCTACTACAATGGTAGTTATTTTTTGGCATATTTGGAACAAATGGTAGTGCTTTGTTAGTTGTAGTATGAGTTATTGGAATGGTAGTGATTAATTGTTGATTTACAAATTGCAGATCAGGTGTATAAAGTTGTCCCGGCCGACAAATCGACATGGCAGCATTTGAGATTTGAAAATAGGGAAGCATTTGTCAAGTTCTACAAAGACTTCGCACACTGGAGGGGTTTTGGAGTAAGACGTATTGGAGCACAGACTCGAAAACCCAAGTTCTTTATTAGTTCTATCCTTGCATTTGTTATACCATTCTCGACAATTGATATAATCGATGCGGGGCTGCACTTCTTCCCAGGTGGTTTAGATTTACCCATATCCTTCTGCGACACAGCTTCATCAATAGAGTCCGAGGTTTGCCCACTTCCAACTTGAACCTGACGACTGCTGTAGGTAACAGGTTCCTTGTGTTTTGAGCCCCTACGACTGGGGTTCTTGGTTCTTACCATTCCTAAAATTGGAAAAATGGGAGGTAAGTCATTTAACATTAATCAAGCATCACAACCGTTGCATGGGAAAAAACAACCAATCCAAATGAAGACTACCAATCCACATCAAACTACCAGATTCACAAGTATGGAGAAAACTACCAATGCATGAAAGGAAACCACCATTCAAAAAAACTGAAAAACTACCATTCGAACAGATCAGTGCCAATCCACATCAAATAGCACGGTTTCACATGTATGCAGAAAACTACCAATGCATGAATGAAAACAGTAAAGAACTACCAATCCAAATGCAGACTACCAATCCAACATGACACAACAATTCAAAAGAGTAATAAAACTACCAATCCAAATGAAGACTACCAATCCACATCAAACTACCAGATTCACATGTATGGAGAACAGAACAGTACCAATCCACATAAAAAAAGAACGGTTTCACATGTATGCAGAAAACTACCAATGCATGAAAGAAAACAGCACAAAAGAATACCATTCCAACATAACACTACATTTCAAAACAGCAAAAAAACTACCATTCCAAACATAACACTACCATTCCACATCAAAAAGCACGGTTTCACATACAGGTGGAAACTACCATTCGACAACCTGAAAGCTACCATTCTAACAGGAAAAAACTACCATTCGACAACCTGAAAGCTACCATTCCAACATAACACTACAATTCAAAACAGCAAAAAAACTACCATTCCAAACATAACACTACCATTCATAGATTGACAAGTATATATATCACTACCAATGCACTAGAACCTACCAATCCGAACAACCAAAAACTAAATCACTACCAAAAACAATACAAAAACAAGAAGAATACCAAAGCAAACAAAACCAAATCCATGATACGTTTAAAATTGAAGATTAGAGTTCTGGCGGGAGACGAACCTCAGATCAGTAGCTCACAGCCGACAACGGGAATGGATGCTGGAAGAGCTAAGATGAATGTCGCCGCCGGTGAGACGCCGAAAACGCTCGTTTACCCACCAACAAATAAAGAACCAGCCGCCGACAACCCTCGCTAGAAAGGAACGACGGCGGCGGCGGTCCAGAAAACCCTTCCCTTCTCTGTTTGCGCGAGGGAGGGATGGTAAAGACGGAAGATACCACGGCGTCGAAGAGAGACCACGCCGGACAGAGAATGCGGCGGCGGACAGAGAATGCGCCGGCGGCGGACAACGCCGGAGAGAAATCCGTCTTTACCAGGGGAGGGCGGCGTCGGACAATGCGGCGGCGCCAAAGAGAAATCGCGGACAGAGAAGCTTCTGCTCTCTGCAAAAGGGAAAAGGGAAAAGGGAAAAGGGTTTTGGGTTTGGGAGCTGCGTTGAGAAGGAAAGAAACAATAAAGAAGGGAAGCGTGGGGCAAGGCTTTGATTTCGGGCCCAGTAATGATTATGTGGTCCTTTCCGTAAACACCCTTCAACAAAATGGGCCCTTAGATTGAATTTCTCTAATCTGTATGGCCATAAAGGAGGTAGCCATGATGGCTACTTAAAAAAAAGGAACCAGGCTAACGCATTCCAAAATCACCGTTTACATACCCCATAAAATTTGGGAATTTATAATTATGTTAATTAAATTCTATGCTATGCTATAGAGTGTAACATACACACCCAAAATCAAGGGTATATATATGGTATATGCATCCTTAATATAAACCCATGATCGTGTGCCTTGTTTTTTTTTTTTTTTTTTTGATGAATAAGTTGTGTATTCATCAAGAAAGAACGGCAAAACACCATTCTAACTGGTACCAAGCTACAAAACTGTCTGATTACAGAGACTGTGGCAAACACCCTGGCTACAACTACAGCAACTAATCAACAACAAACCTGTCTAAAAACAAGAATCAAACAAAATGTTACACTATACTGATTATCTCTGCCTCACTGACCACTGAACTAACTTGAGGAAAACCACTTCTTAGTAAAAGCAGCATCCGTTGCAGTTTCTTCAGCAGTTGTTCCTCTGTTAGAGTCTCACTACCATACAACCTTCGGCACCGCTCTCGCCATAATTCACTCACCACTGTCAACCAAAACAGCCTGCCCCTGTCAGAATTTGGTGAAGTTGTTTTAAACCGGCCTAAAGCAATCGCCAAGTTCTCATCCCAGCTTCTTCCTATTTGGAACCTCGAGCGAAAGACAGCCTGCAAGACCTTTTGAGAATAAGGGCAATCAAAAAACAAATGACTTCTTGACTCTGATGTAGCTGTACATAGGGGACATATGTTGTTAACAGAAGGATTCCAAGCCTGCACCTTGTCTAATGTGCTGATCCTGTTGAGGATAATAAGCCACCCAAGAACTTTATCTCTAGGTGTACATAGAGATTTCCAGATTAATCCATACCAAGGAACCTTATCATATTTGGGTCGAAGAGACTCCCAAACTTTCTTTACTGAGTACTTGCTCATAAGCTGGCCATCCCAATAGACCTCAGAATGCCTAACAGAGAGATGATTTTCTGCATAGTCCCTTTGCATTAAGACCTTCCTCCATGCCCAAGAACAGTTTATTGAAGATGGAATGTCCCATATAGATGTATAGGTGAGCTGATACTGACGAACCCAGTGAGCCCATAGAGAGGAGGAATTTGAAGCCAGTGCCCATAAATGTCTGATAAGACAGGCAGAATTCCAGCTTCTGAGATCCTTGAACCCCAAACCTCCCTCCTGTTTTGGCCTAGCCACATATTTCCAGTTTACCTTTGCCTTTTTTCCCTCCTCCTCAGCATTCCAAAGAAAATCAGAGCAGAGTTTTTCAACCTGCTTGATCACCTTGACAGGCAGGGTAATAATCCCCATCCAATATTGCGTTATACTGGAAATAACAGCTGTAACTAATTGCAGTTTCCCAGCATAGGAGAGAGCTCTGACATTCCAACCCTTAATACGAGCAGTTATTTTTTCAACTAAAGCAGCACAATCAGCAGTATTTAACTTCCCAGCAATCAGAGGGACTCCCAAGTAACGTACTGGAAGTGCCCCTAGTACAAACCCAGTTCTCATAGTGATTTGACCCTTAGTTTCAGCATCTATCCCAGCACAGAAAACTTCACTTTTTGTTGGATTGCATTTCAGTCCTGACACAGTATAGAACAGGTCTAGGATCTGTTTTGTGGTCTCCACTGCCTCACAAGACCCTTTAGTAAAAATGAGCAAGTCATCCGCAAAACAAAGGTGGGATAGGGCTATCCTATGTGTTTGGGGGTGTGGGGGAAGAGTTTTGAGTACATAGGCCCTATTCAACATACAAGACAATACTTCCATTGAGATTGTGAAAAGGTAAGGGGACAAAGGGTCCCCTTGCCTCAGCCCCTTCTTTGAAGAGAAATACCCACAAAGGCCTCCATTAAAGCTAACACTGAGCTTGGTACTGTGCAGGCATATACTAATCCATTTTACAAACTGACTAGGAAATCCCATTGCCCCCATAACTGTTTCCAAGAAGTCCCAGTCTACACTATCGAATGCCTTCATTATGTCCACCTTTAAAGCACATCTAGGAGATACAGATTTCCTGTTATAAAGCCTAACCATCTCATGAGCAAGCAACACGTTATCACTAATGAGTCTCCCTTTAATGAAGGCAGATTGGTTTTGACTTATAACTAGGGGGAGAACCTCTCTTAATCTGTTAGCAAGGACTTTAGCTATGCACTTATAAAAGATGTTACAGCAGGAGATAGGCCTAAACTGCTTCATGCAGTCAGCATTTAGCATTTTAGGTATAAGAGCCAGGTAGGTGGAGTTTACCTCTGTGAGGAGCTTCCCTGTCCTGAAGAAGTCCATAATAGCTGTTGAGACATCAGTCCCTACTATCTCCCAATTATGCTGGAAAAAGTCCGCTGTAAACCCATCAGGGCCTGGGGATTTATCACCATTCATTGAGAACATGGCAGATTTTATTTCTTCATAGGAAACTTGAGTACACAAAGAGCCTCCCTGATCTGAAGACAGACGGTGAGTGAGCAACTGAGTGAGCAGGTCACTAGAAACAGCTCTTACTGCCTTATCCTTAGTCCCCAACAACCTTTTATAAAACCGAACAGCTTCCCTACTCATATCTTGAACCTCTGTAAGAATTGTGCCATCCTCAGCTACTAGTTTCTTTATGGTAGATCGAGATTGCCTTGCTTTTACAGAATTATGAAAGAAAGCAGTGTTCAGATCCCCTGTCTGCACCCAAATCATCCTTGATTTTTGTCTGTAAAAAGATTCTTCCTCAAGAAGTAAAGTATTAAGAGCTGCTTGACACTCATTCAGGTCCTGAAAACTTGAAGCAGAAGGAGAGGACAAAGCAACCAGATGCAAGTTCTCCAACTTCTTTTTCATTTCCCTTACCTTCTCTGAGATCTCAGAATAGAACACTCTATTTAATTTCTTCATGCCTCTTTTTACTTCCTTAAGCTTCTGACATACTACAAACATAGGAGTGCCCTTAAGAGTTTTCCCCCACGCATCCTTTATGAGTTGCTTGTACTGAGGGTGAGATTCCCAGTGCTTGAAATACTTAAAGGGCTTTGGTAGGGTAGAAACAAGAGAGTCAGTAGTTACCAGCATTCCACAGTGATCCGAGAGCCCTGGAAGAAGCAGTTTGACCACATAATTTGGGAATGCAGCTAGCCAACTAGCATTGACCAATACCCTGTCTATCCTCCGAGCAATGGGATTTCCCCCTTGCCTGTTAGTCCATGAGAACCATGGCCCCTCAAATCTGCTATCTTCAAGTTCCATGTCTTCTATCCAGTTTCCAAAAGACTTCATGCTATTGTTTGGGCTAGGGCTGTTTGAGGCTTCAGAGACAGTCTTTATAGCATTAAAATCCCCAAGAACCATCCATGGGAGTGCATCAGGTTTTAGAGTTGGATGGCGATACATTCTAGATCTCTCCCCTACGTCATTTGAACCATACACAAAAGTTACCCTTGCTGAAACTTCTCCCCTGACTTCACCATGAACAAACTGATCAGTTCTTTCCAACACAACAAAGTCTAAATCCTTCTTCCAAAACACCCATAATCGGCCTAAATCTGAATACTCATAATTGTGAGCAAACTCCCACCTTCCAAAAACATTGCTAACAATCTTTTTTGAGTTTTCTTCTTTGACCCTTGTTTCAAGAATTCCAAAAACATCTACATTATACTGATTAACTACATCTAAAACCTGCTTCTGCTTGGCGGGGTGATTAAATCCCCTGATGTTCCAAGCCAGCACTATCATTTCTTATTCTTAGGTTTGGCAGGGCGCCCTGGTCCCTTCTTACCCTGCTTACCTTTTTCCAACACCCCCACCTCCAGCACAGGAAACTCCTCCAGGTTACTCAGAACTGGACTACCAACAACCATTGGACCTGCTTTGTTAGCTACACTATTATCAGCTAGGACTTGGAATTTATTCGCCACAGGTGTAGAGACCCTTGCATCAGACTGTCCTTCTATAGCTGAGTGGAACTCCTTATCCGAAGGCAGCACAGATTCAGCATTTCTCCATTCTGAAAGTACTCCCTGCTCAATGGACTTAACCAAATTTGCAACTTCAGGTTATGACAAGCAGATTCCGCTGATGCCTGTGCAGATCCCCTGGAAGCAAGTATAGAATCCAAGATAAGTCTTCCAGCACCCCCTTCACTCACTGCCCCAACCTCTTCAGTCACTGGCTCAGCATGCTGCACCAAATCAGAACCAGTTGCCTCTTCCCCTTGAGGTTCAGCACACTGATGACCAAAAACCCTGCACTTCTGACACCCCAGAGGACGATTGCAGTACTCAAGAGCCACTGAGAAAGCTGGTTTCCTGTCTGGGACCAACTTGACAGAATCTGGGAAAGGGGAATCAATAGACATCTCCACACAAACCTTAGGAAATCCCATTCTCCTGCCTAACCTAGTGGATTGATCGAACCAAAGGGGTTTTCCAAGCATACTAGCTATCCTCGTCAGTATTCTACCAGTAGCATACTCAACCGGAATATCCTGAAAACAAACCCAGATAGGGATGGTAGAACTGCAATCCACTGCTCTGATACCCGGAGACCATTTGCAAAGGAAACACATATCTCGTTGAAATGCCACGGCCCGCTGGTGAAAACCCAATCGGCAACTTCAGAACTTGGGAATTGGAAAACCGTCAGCTGCTCGCTTAGTCGAGAAACCCTAACCCATCCTGATTTCCCCCACAGTCGATTCGCCCAACTCTGAAGCTGCTTCACAGAAGGGGAGGAGTGCAAGAATTGCCCCACCAGACTGTACTTCCACCTCTCTTCACCTTCCTGAACAAGCTCCTCCGGAATGCGCAACCCTCCGTCTACTATCTCTGGTTCGATGAAGACCAAACGATTCGCCTCAGCGATGCCAAACAGATCAGCCCAAGATTTAGCAATGGACGTCATCTCGGCCGGAGTAGAGGGGAGAGGGAGACGCAACGAAGATGGAAACGCTACCGGCAGAGCGCAGCTCGCGCACCTGCCGCCGCCGGCGAGAACGGTGCGAAAACGACTCTAACGGCTTAGAGAGAGAAACGACTCTATTGCACCCTCATGTTTGGCAGAGCTTTGACCATCATTTCATAAAGCTTGTGCCTTGTTTTACTATATATAACAAGGTTTATCCATTAAATTTTTACGTTTGATAATATATATATACATGATAATTATAGTGTTAGAAACAGATGCGTTATATCCATAATGACGTTCTCCTTCTTTCCATTTAAAATATTTGCAGTTTCATTCAAAACATAAGTTTGTCTTGCTCTCCTCACCTTTAAAATGGCTAATATCATCAAGTAATAACATACCAATGGATTAGCGAAGAGGAAAACTAATTACCACAAGATAATTTTTTACCTCAGAAAATGGTGATGGTGAAATCTGAGATCATCATGAATCTACTTTTGTTCTTAGCTTTAGTCACCACATTAGTTACGGACACATGGAGTCTCCCGTTGAATAATCTAATTCATAAACCACCATCGAATTCGAGCCGCAAACATTCGATAAAAAGACGTCAGTTTCCTCCGGACTTCAAATTTGGAGCATCGATATCAGCGTACCAAGTAATTTCTCGATCTCGTCCTTAAAGAGATTAATAATATATTGGAATTATTTATTATAAATTTCTTAATAATTTTTTTTTTCCCCCTTTGGAATTGTTAGCATGAAGGCGCCACTTGGGTTGATGGTAGACGTCCAAGTACATGGGATGCTTTTAGTCATGCTCATCCAGGTAATTTAAGAAAAAAGTTTCCGTCGCTATTATGTGGTAATGCTAATCGTTCTCGTCGCTAAATTAGATAGCGGCGAATGCTGAGGAGATAAAATAAAATAGAACATCACAACAGTTGGTTCATCTTACAACTTGTTGGTTGATTGAATGGCAGACAGAATACGAGGTCGAACCAACGGTGATGTCGCAACCGATTCTTACCACTTATACAAGGTATGAGATATTTAATGACGAATTATATATTGGACAATTAGCTAGAGGGGATTGATTGATAGGATGCATAATTGCATATACTAATTAGTTGAAATGATTTAGCGGTTGTAGGATGACATATCGCTTGCCAAACAACTCGGTTTGGATACTTTCAGATTCTCACTCTCATGGTCCAGAATATTGCCATGTAAGTCGACCCTTATGCACATTTAATCTCAAATTTTGGCACATTAACATAAAATTATGTCATTAACCAAAGTTAACGGAGTAAAAGGATTAACTATGACCAGATAAACTAACTTATTACCGTTTGATCCTCGTCACCTTCAGATGGGAAGCTCAGTGGAGGTATCAACCAAAAGGGAATAGATCATTATAACAACGTTATTGATGAGGTCCTAGCACAAGGTTCCTACCTATAATTACATCTATTTTAATCAGTGATCTTAATCTGATTAAATATATATATAGCTTAATTTTCATGCAACTTCTTAACTTAATGCGATTAAATTAGAAAAATGTAATTTTGGATGAACTTACGGAGTATTATAATAAACAGAATAAAGTGATTCATCAACTTATTTGCCCACAATCAATGTCAAGGTGACAGAAATGAAGTTGAATGAATGCATATTTTATCGTTTTTCATGACACATGAGGTCTTGTTTTTGTTCTAGTAATATACATCTCTGATTCTCGCAATTTAGTGGTATCTGATATATTTTATTTTATTTGCGTCTCAAACCCGAACCATTGCCAACCATATGTTTGTGCAGGATTGACGCCATTCTTGTCACTCGTGCATTTGGATTACCCTCAAATTTTGGAAGACGAATACAGCGGCTTTCTAAGCACTCGCATGGTGTAATTATGCCCAAATCCAAATTGATTCTACCAACAAAACCGCTACATATAAATCCAATAAAATATCAAACCAACGTAAAAGACAATATAATAATTTGTTTGGAAATTTCAGGGACGATTTTAGAGATTACGCTGATATTTGCTTCAAGGCATTTGGTGACCGAATCAAATATTGGGTCACTATAAACGAGCCGAGGACTCTGATACTAGGCGGCTACGACGTCGGCGATATGGCGCCGGGACACTGCACCAGCCTTTCCAACTGGACTTGCGACGCCGGAAACTCCTCGACGGAACCCTACATTGTAGCCCACAACCAACTTCTTGCTCATGCCGCTGCCGTTCAGCTGTACAGACAAAAATATCAGGTTTATAATCAACAATTCCACCGACCAACTTATCCCTTTTCTGGAATTGTTTTTTTGTTATTAAGGAATGGTAACGTTAGAGATTTGTTTGAAATTCATGTATAGGCAACTCAGAAAGGAATCATCGGAATATCAATGAATGCGGACTGGATCATCCCCTACAGCTCCAGTAAAGGCGACATTCAAGCAGCCAAAAGAGCCCTTGATTTCACTTTTGGATGGTAAGAAGCTTATAGGTTGGAAAACGTTTAGTTTGATTGTCATATTTTTGCGTTGGTCTAAGTTGGAATAGTTTGTCCCATTTGGAAAACTAGTCTGGGCCCGGATGAAGTAGTTCTGCCGCAACATTTCCTAAATCGTTTATGACGAAAAAGTGCTGTATTGCAGAATCTCACAAAATTTTCTGCGACGACTTATCTCATCGCGTAAATCTAAAAGACTATTGTAAATTCATCGAGTCGGCATGTCCTGAAAAAATGTAGACAATATGGAAAATATAATCTTATCGCCACAGAAAGCCGGGTTTTAGCGATGAATTTATCCTCTGTAGCAAAATTTTGGTTGCTAAGAGTATGTTTTCTCTAGTAACTAAACATGATTAACTATGATGGATATTGCTTAATATTAGGTTCATGGACCCAATATACAAGGGTGACTATCCAGAGAACATGAAACGATATGTTGGGGATCGATTGCCGAGATTTTCGAAACAAGAATCGACATTATTGAAAGGGTCTTACGACTTTCTTGGAATCAACTATTATACTACCCAATACGCACTTGATCGGGTTGACTATAGCGATCCTCGTCACCCAAATGGCTACGATGCTCATGTCCAACTTTCTTGTAAGTTCAAATTGCCAAATTGATCTCTTATACTACTTATTGTCATAATTAATTCCATACAACTTGATTTCTTGTCATTTGTTCATAAAAAAAATTAGTTAATTAGTTCATCAATTGCAGCAAACTTACGAGATCTTTAAGCAAACCCTTTCATCCTTATTAAGAAAACGACATGATTTTAGCGACGGGGGATACGTCAACCAAATGCTGAGCTCTGATTAAATGTGTCTTTTGGTCCCCTAAAATTAGAATTGATTAGAAAGTATATCTATCGAAACCATACTTTTTGAGTCGTCATCTAAAGTTCGAATATATAATCGTCATTAAAACTTAGGTACTTGAAAAAGAAATTAGGTAATCCTCTGTTAATATGGTTCTAAAAGGCGCTAGGTGTAAGGCAGGCGCTCGGCTCCTAACTTGCGCCTTGCCTGATTAGGCGTAGCCTAGGCGCGCATAGGCGTTCAGAGCATAAATGGAAAAATTTCTCAAATATTTTTTGTTTTCTGGAATAATTCATATAATCCAAGTGCATATAAAATTAGCAATGCGTAGTTCTTAATAGTAAACACTTAACATAACAAATAACAAGTAAATAGTGACCACTTTCTAGAATCACAAGTTCATCCAAGTAGGTCCGTCCAGACACCACTTCATCTTCATCATCCTCAAAAGCAATCTCCTCACCATCCTCCTCCTCTTCCTCCTCTTCAGACACTAATTCTTCATCATGGAGCTCTCTCACTCGTGCACTCCTGCGAAGCTCACTCTGTTCACCCGCCATTGCATCTGTAACAGTACTCGAGGGTGCACAATATGATTCATCATCCTCATCTACGAATACATAAATAGCATGGTCATCCCCTTCCCGTGTTTCTGATTTTCTAGGGCAAGAGGCAATTTTCTGATTTTCTAGGACAAAACGAAAAGTATTGGGTTTAACCTCCTAAGCTCGCCCAGGAATGCCTTCTCTCCACTAGGCGCAAACTAAGCGCTATCAGCGCCTTTTACAACGCCTATAGCCAAGTCAAGGCGATCCTCCACCGCCTAGCGCCTAATTGAGCCTAGGCGTGCGCCTAGGCGCGCCTTCTTGAACCCTGACTTAATATTAGTTGTTGAATTGACTAATCATACCATCTACAAATATGAAATTTGTCAATAGCTTTTGCTAAATCTAATCCTTTCTTATTATCTGAATTAACACAGTTGTAAGAAATGGACAAGTAATTGGACCTCAGGTGAGTATGTTACTTATTCCCCCTAATTCATTTTAATTGCATGTAATGATAAATTAATGTAGTCATGCTCTTGAATCATGTAGACAGTTACACTATGGATGACCATCTATCCTAGAGGACTTTATAATCTCTTACTCTACATAAAAGACACCTATCAGAATCCTCTTGTCTATATTACAGAAAATGGTGGGTGATTCTTGCTTCTGGTTAAAATACCTAATTTTAAGATCATTTGACTAGTTAATTTCAGTAGAAAACCAATCTAAATGTTGCACGGATTTTGCAGGACTCCCTGACTCTGGAAACTACACTCATTCACCACTTGAAGCACCACCTGATGATGAATCAAGAATTTCATATCTTCAAGATCATCTCATATCCCTCAGAAGAGCCATGAAGTAAATGCAATAAAACTAGTGAATTCGAATTCATCCATAATCTTGCTTGCTGTAAAAACTAAAATGGGCTACATTTTCCAACAAGAGAGCTAATGAACTAAATATATTTGGCGTCGAAAATTTTGGTTGCAGAAAGGGAGCAAATGTGAAGGGCTATATGGTGTGGTCATTACTTGATGGGTACGAGTGGACCGGTGGTTACGAGTGGAAATTCGGATTGTACTACGTTGACCATTTCAAAGCCCCTTCGATCAGAATTCCAAAGATGTCTGCAATTTGGTTTAGAAAGTTCCTTAAACGAATTAATTAATTAGTCGTTGATTTTCTTAGCATACACGTGATACGCATTTGTGCTGCAGAAATGTAGTCAACTTTACCATGTGTTGAAATTCTTGAAAACCATAGGGTGAGAACTGAGAAGTATATGCATCGTACAAAAGGAGAATGTATTCTTAACCGGCTTCGATTATTTAACTTTTGAAGACGACTTTTATCTTCAGTTATATAATAATGACAACTTTACCATTTGACTAATTTATTAATGAGAAGGAAGAGTGTATCACTGATTATTAATAACGAATACTGGGCATCAAGTCCATGTTCTAAAGATGAAACTGCGGTTTAGAGTGATCAAAGTCATTAATAATCTTCCTAAATCTCAATACGTACATTGTACTCCAACTTGAGGTGGAAGTGTTGATCACTGTCATTCACCTTCCTTCTCTTCCTCGTCGATTCGTTCGCTCTATCTATAATTACTAATTTTTTGTAATGACTAGATAAGATTTTGAATCAAGATAGAACTACATAGTTACCCTGTTATTCAATCTTTGTGTGTCTGATGTTGTAATTGCTTCTATCATCTTTTACGAGTTTTAATTTTCGCATCTTACCGCCACCATGTATACACATCTTCAATCAAACATTTAGTAGATATCCAAGTAAAATTATGACTAAAAAGAAGTCTATCGAAACAGGTAGAAAACGAGATGAATAACACCATAATAATGCAGCCCTTCTCCCTCGCATTCTGTTGCAAGCAAGTTTGGATAGTCACAATAAGAACCCCAGATACAGAGTACATAAGGTTGCCTTATTAAGAGTGATGGTAGAACTAACAAACATTTAGTTCCATAACCAAACTACCCGATTTGATTCTGACCTTTCGCTGTAACATGCAGAACCAAAAAAAGACAATTCTAAACCGAACAAAAGGGTTAAGAAAATAAAAGTCGAGATAGAGCACCAATATTTTTCTTGGCTGCCAAGCTTGCGGCACCCAGCTTCAGTCAGCTGCTATAACCAAACATCAACCAAGGACGAAGCAGAATTTGGCTGCGAAAATGGGCACATAAATATTCCTCTGCCTAAGCTACTTCAACTCTAGGAAAAGAACCTAACTGAGGGAATAAGAATGTGTGGATTCTTCACCGGAAAAGCTTCCTAGAGCAGGTACTTTTCGACCACTGTTCGGCCAAACTTCTCTTCGACGTCCTTTGGAGTTTCAATCTGTAGAATAATCGAGCAGTTTTGGAAAGTAAATGTCAATAAGGCAGTAGAAAAATACTTTGAAAAGAAGAATCCTATGAGCTCTCGTTGCAGGACTTGGCCACTTACTGCATTCAGGGCTTTGAACAGAGCCTTGACAGTGTTGTGAGGATTCCGTGAACCAACAACCTGACAAGAGAAGGGATAAAATATGAAGATGGCAGGTCTGATGGATTACAAGAGAAGTGACCGACGGCCAACCGATTCCAGTTAACCAGAAGCTGAACAAGTTAAATGGTAACTAGTAACCGTCCTAGTACAAACAATTTTTGTTCCGTGGCCATTCCGTGGTTGTCCGGTTACATGCTGGAAACCATAATGTAACACAAAACCAGTGAACAAACTGGAAACTTTTTAACTAGATCACCAAAAACAAGGAAAAATATTATATTTCAACAAAAGTGCCCCATAAGAACATGAAAAAACAACCCATAACAGTCATTAAGCTTGGTTCAACTGCCAGTTACGAATTAAGGTTAACGATTCGGTTGCCTATTGGCTACTCAACTACAATTAAGGTTTCAGTTATTTAATTAGTTTTGGGTTTTTCCAATTCGTTGGGTTTGATTCTTGAACAACAAGCGAGTGCCAGAACAATCTTTTACCTTGGATTTTACATTCTTGAAGCCAGCCAGATTCAGAATTGTTTGGACGGTTTTCCCTGCTTTCATACCTGTTCTAGTTGGCGCCGGCCATAGATAGACCTATGAAATAAACAGATAATTTAGGGCACCAAATAGGCAAGAGGAGAATAATATCGGAGAAGAATAAGTGATTATACCTTGGTCTTTTTATATTCAGTTTGTATGGTATGTGCGATTGTGTGCTCCTCATGTCGTTCTATGTAGTGGAGATTCTGAAAACACTTCTCGTATGCCTGCTCATAAAATCCAAAAGGGGGACATGCAAAATCGAGAATAAGCATTTGCTAATGAAAACCACAGTGACTTGCACAAAGAAGGAAAAATCAACTCACTTCCTCTTCTCAACATAAACTAGGCTAACTAAGACTAGACAAAGTCCAGAGAAGCTCGAAAGCACAGCAAAATTACCTTCTGGAGAGCAATCGGGATGGCAGGTCCTTTGGCTTTAGCAAACCCAACAACACCATGATAGTTCCCACAAGCTAATATAGCAGTGTATTTGACAACTTGCCCTCCCTTACAGAACATACACAAGGACTTTAGAAAATAACAGGTCTTGAAAACACTTGCAACGAAAAAGAAACACAGTGGCAAGATTATAATACCTTTGTAACTTTACAAGTTCGATTCACGTCGATCAACTTCACATCAAAACCCTGTCAGTATTTTATAAAGTTTGGTTAATACATTGATTATATCATTGTCACACACAACAAGCATTACGAAAAGGTGTCCTAAGAAGAAGGAAGTAAAAGGGTGAGTTCCCATTTCCTCAAGAGTAAGAGCAAACATCCAAATGCATATCGCCACCATTAACATGGCAGTTGTAGCCCACCATTGACATCAGTTAATCATATACATGTGTAACTGATGCCATAAACAAGTATATCGGTTCATTAATATTATGTTATACTTCTCCATCACAACATTGTGGTGCATCCTCAAAGGAATAACATGCTACTTTTGCTACTTACAGATCAAGAAAAGATCAGAGAGATGATTTATTCAATATCAACCAGATCAAATGCATCATCAACTGAAAGGAAACCTTTATTTTCAAACTGGTACTATATTTTCAAGCCAAGGTCCATAGTCTAACTCACAACCAAGAGTCGGCACGAAACTGTATCATCATTGTATTGAAGAAGGGTAAAACAATAATAGAGACAGCAGAGCTTTTTTATTTGGTATAAAGACAGAAGATTAATACACTAAAATGTCAATTGTTTGATCATTAGCAGAATTCATTATTCAGTTCTACTTGGTGCAAGAACTGTCCACCAGCTAAGGTGGTAGACTTTAGAAAACAAACTTTTGGCAATTTTAGTAGAGATAAGAAAGATAGACATACCTTTCTATACATTGGTTTCCTTTTCTTTTCTGTCAGAGCATTTCTCTCCACAGCGAGATCTCTAATCTCCTCCTCAAGAGCCTTGCCTCTCTTTCCAAATGTATAATCCAACTCCGCAAGCTTCTCCTCAAGTGTCTTATCAAGAGCATTCAGCTTCTCTAATAGTATATCATCTCTTTCCTTCATGTCATCAAACTCCTCTTCCTCATCACTATCTTGGACTGTTTCCTTCTCATCCTTCTCATCATCACCATCAGCATTTTCAATGAGATCGACGTTAGATCCCACTTGAGAATGTTGAATAACTCCAAAATTAGCTGGATCATTAGGATCATAAGCTTCCTTCCAATTCACCATCCTCAACGCCCTGTTGATCTTCTGTTGCAGGATAAATTTTTCCTTGCCTTCGGATACCTTTAGACGATTCATCAACTCACCAATGACCCGGTACTCTGGCCGAAGCCTAAAATGCTTTTGCTCAAACTTGTCAATTCTACTCATCCATTTGAAAGCCTCGTCGAGTGTCTCTGCAATGAAGAATAGAAAGAAAAAAATACATTACATCCATTGCCAAATACAGAAATTAACCAACTCTCTTTCTGTCATTCACTACATACCACTCTCAGTGAAATTGTCAAGCAACTCTTTATGTCGTTTGTGCTTCTTCTGAAACTGATCAAACTTTTTCCTGATAGCATCTGGTGCAAACCTTTCATCATCTTCATCGCTATCTGAATCAGAACGCTCCTCATACATAAGCAGCTTGTCACCAACTTCTTTCAGCTTCTCCTTCTCTAACTTCTCAATCAGAGGCCCGACACCCATGTAATCCTCTTCATCTTCTGCATCAAGATCTTTAGTATCCAACCCTGCACGCTTCCGAGCCTCTTTTTCCCTCTGCTTCTCACGCTCTACTTCTACCAGAATTTCCTGCACTTCACGAGATGTTGCAGCAGCTGATGTCGAGTAGCAGCTACCAGAGGAGTAGGAGAATGTGGGTTTTTGGGTGATGCAAAATCGCTGCGAAGATTGTATATTGGGGCGAAATTGAGGGTTTGGAACTCTTATCAGAGTTCTTATGTAACGATGGAAAAGGGTCCGAGTACCATGCATCTTTCTGGACAAACACGGACAGATACTGACTGGAGATAAAGACACCCAGACTAACTTAGTGGAGATCACAGGATTCCTTGATACCCAGACATGATAAAGGGTTCATCAAATGTGTCAGTTCTTTGCTTGGCTTCTACACTGCAATCTGCCGCAAAAGTTCTGGCAAAATTAGAACTAGTAGTCTAAGAGAAAGAAGTGTCTTCAAATTAACTAGAACTAACAACTGAAGCAGCATCCTCAAAAACCACCCACTCAAACCAACCCAAGTTTCACAAAATATCAACCGAACACTCAATGAACGGCGATCCCTAAATCTCAAATCAAGTTATTTCCAAATGAAATCAAATGAACGCAATTTCGAAATCAGCAAGAAGTAGCAAGAGAGAGAGACCCATGGAGCTTACAAGAACATGGGAAGCAAGGGGTCGATCGAGGATGGGAACCAAAGTCCGGGAGAAAGAGAGAAGATGGCCAGTCGAGCAGCGCGGAGATGATATGCAGTTTCAAAGATGAAACCCTGCGTGACGAATTTTAGCCGAGATGAGAGATTGTCGGAGATATACGGTAGTCGGAGAAGAGCGACGACGAGGTGCTCGGCGGAGGGAAGGGTTTAGGGAGGAGTGAGGAAGATGGGAGGGTTTGTCCAGTTCAAGGTTGTTAAACCCCTATCGAACCCCCCGGTTGGACCCGGTTCAATCCGAGTCGGGCTTCAAAACGGCCTTCAGAAAACCCCTCGGTCTGACCCCTAAACAGGGAGCAAAAGAGAGGAAAAGGAAAGAAGGAAGGGAAATGGTAGGTGGATCATGGAAGTTAGGTAGATTTATTTTGTTGAAAATAAGTTTTTAATAGATATATGTAAGATAAATTTTATTTCACTCATTAAATTTTTAATTACTACTTTATTTGTATATATATTTAGAAAATGTCTAAAACGGCTCAAACCGGCCGGACCCCGATCAAATCATTAAACCTCAAACTCCTTGACCGGCTCAATGACTCAAACCGGTTTGACAACCTTGGTCCAGTTTTTCCTTAACTCCAGATTATTATTTTCAATTTATTTAATAGGTCATTCACCGAAATGGTCACTTAACTTTGGGACTGTACCCAAATGGTCACGTAGCTTTAAGAGTTCACAAAATGGTCAAATTGTTTTTTTGCAATAACAAAACAAAATAATATCATTTTAGTGAATTTAATCAATAAGAATTAATTTTTGACTTATTTCATAAATTCAAAAGTTGAATGCTGATATTATTTGTTGGATTGAAACATAAAAATTTCGGTGTTAAGGTTAAATGTAGTATTTAAATATGTATATTTGCAATTTTGTTTCGAATGTTGTATTTTATTTAAATATGAATATAGATTATAAGTAAATTATCTTCAAATATGTTATATATACTTAAATTCATTTGAAGTTAATGATTTTCATATTTTCATATTTTATTAACCTGGTATGGTCCACACAAATCGATTTTGCCATTGATCAAACCATACCACTTGCTAAAGCTACGTAATGGTATAAACCGATTTGACAAACTTGGTTGTAGGATAACATGAACATTCGAACTTGATTTTGATAGACGTGATTCCTTCTTAGGAGGAGCCATTCATCGAAGTTGATCATTTTGACAGGTCTAGTGGCATCTTATTAGGAATAAATAGTTGTAGAATTTCACAGACACCACAACAGAGTCACTTAAATTATAGGCAGCTTAGTTCTCAACCAAATGACCAATGAATGCCTTGACCCTTGCCCTCTTTAATCTCTATCATGAGGAGTAACCCAATTCCGCGTCACAATTGCAGGAGCAGAAGTAAAGGAAAAAAGCGCCTATTCCATTCCAGCTAGACCTGCCAGCACACTCTGCTGTCCAAACTCTGTTGTATATCTTCCTCCATGTTCCTCTGTTCTTATTCAAACATCTGCTGCACTTGAAATTAAGCTCATCAGCCATCCTTTTGCCACCTCTCTATCCACATTTCTTGCCGCCACCAGCCATTGTGAGATTATCCTCCCAATCTTTCCACATATTATTACTTTTGCTTTGAGACATTGGACTTTTCCATTGAATTCCTGATTTGAACTTTACTAGCTTGTCAGAAGCACAATCAGCAAGGTCCCCATTTCAGGACCTTCTCGTAATAGCTCGAGTTGAATTGCAATGTGAAGTCTATATAGGAAGTCTATGTCATTTCGTAACTGTAAATGAACTAAATATAATATATTGGAAACAAACCATGAACCTCACTTTCTCCTAGAGTACTCTCAGATGTGGACTTGTGAGATTCCAACTGCAATCAATCTACAGAGACATGCACAACAGCAAAATCATTCCTTCTGATCAGGCCAGCAAAAAAATGTGACTCGCTACAATGAAGCAAGAGGGCAGCTTGGGAACTAAGCTGCAAGAGTTTCCGCACAAGTAGACAGACAATCATATCCAATCAATCGTCTTGCCGAAAGCCTATGCTCGAGTAATTTACAATAAAAGATAAGAATATCAACATGCACGATGTGAAGGTGCAGAAACCTTTTCAACCACCATTGACTTCAACCAATCGTCTTGCCTAGAGCCTGCTCAAGTAAATTCCAATTCAAGGTTGAATCAGATTGCCAACATGTACGACGTCACACTGCAGAAACCTTTTCAATCACCATTGAGTACCGACAGAGCCATTGTATTAAGCTTCTCTTTGCATCAATCTTATTATTAATACTCAATAATCATATGAACAGTACAACAGTAAAGCACAAATGCTTTCAGAAGATCCCATCAAGCATGACACAGTCATGTGGCTAACTGAGTAAACCTTCTATTTCCACATTAGGCCATTCGAACAAGCAAAATTAATAGACAGACATCAGGATCAATCATCATAGTAAAGGATCATATGGAAAGTACGACATCCAAAAACAGAATTTCTATTATAATTCCTAAGTCACATCATCATAGTCAAACCATCATAGGTCACGAGTCTCGGTACTTGACTACATAATTGTCATATCAATAGCTTCAATAATGAACCAACAAGGATGAGATGTTTTCTTGCTTGATATATATAGCAAAATACACCTTCATCCACGAAGGACTTAACTGCACAATACTTCTAAAAACTGGAATAGAGGGCAGCTGCAGCAAATGTACTATCAAGTAATCATGTCTATCTTAAACATAACAAATAGCATTTTCTTGGCATTCCAGTTGGATCATTCAAAATTTCCCATATATGACGATTTAGGACTTTCAATACGGTCTTTATCGAAATTGAGATGGAGCAGAGGGGTAACCGATGACGATCATCTCAGAGTAACACACAAAGGGACACAACGGTTTGATAAACCATTACCTGACATCGCGGATAGTAATTCTTTGTATTTATAAACATAAAGGACAATGTTTTCTAGTATTCTAGATAGATCATTCAAAAGTTCCCCTCCAGGCCTCCAACTAAGGACTTTTGCTACTGTTAATCTTAAACATGAGATGGAGCAGAGGGGCAGCAACTGATTATGATAAAGAAAAGAAACAGAATATTTTGATAATCAGAACCTGACATAATGGACAGTGGTATTTTGCTAAAATCATTCAAAGTTGCCCTCTAGGACACCAATTAGGACTTCCAGCATAACAACCTGTCATTGAAGTTGAGATGGTGCAGAAGCGACAACAATTAATGATCGTCTCAGAATAACACACAATGGGTTATAAACAACGGACTCAATTTATGACCTTGTCTTCGACAAAATGGAGCATAAGGGCAAGTGGAATGGTTAAGTAATAGCTTGGACAAACAGCGTTCTTACTCGAACATAGCCATCAATCTATGTATTTTCTCAATCAGTATTAATCATCACAAAGTTCCCATATAGGACTCTATTTAGGGAAGTCAATGTGTATGATAGAGCAGAAGGGCAACTAGAATAGAGATAATTTCAGTTGCAGTAACAACATAACACAACTTTCGGTCCAACTTCCTCACTCTAACATGGCCACCATGCCATTTTATAAGTTGAGTCACATCCAGGACTCTAGCTGAGGCATTCGGACTAGGATAGAGCAGAAGAGAAACTGGAATGATCATAGATTATTTCAGTTGTAGAAACAATGGGACACAACTTTCCTACCAACTTCCTTTCTCAAACATGGCCACCATTACGTGTCTTTACCTGTTTGAATCTCCCCTCTAGGACTCTCTTTATAATTCTCACTTAATAGCATAGAGCAAAAGTGTAACTTGAAAGGTTATATAGTCACTTCAAGAGAAACCAACATGGCCACGGATATTACTTTGTGTGTCACCAGATTAACATAGGGTCAACAAGGAGACTGTAATTGAATGGAACAACCAAAACTGTAAGTTCATTCTAGCTATGGGACAAGCAGTAGGATACATAATGCAGTTTGCAAAGCTTGAAGAAATTTAATAATTGCAAATGGGGCCACCAGAGGGCAATAATCGGACAGCCGCATTGAGCTACTTCAACAAAAGATATCCATTCACATCTTATTGCAGCAAGTTCATTGATGAGAAAATCAAGGCAATTCAAAGATCTTCCATCCCTATTCAAGATTCTAGCAACAGAGAAGGGACATTAAGAACCATATCACAGCAAGGACCTATCCACCAAACAATGAAAGATCGGCATGGACATTCAACCTTTCCAGCCTCTATGTATATATCCTCATCATGCCATTTGAATGGGAAAAATAAATGAAGGGGAGGCAGGATAGATTACCAAAGAATCTGCATCTTACCAATAGTGGACGGACATAAAAGAAGACCACCATCTTTCCGTCAGGAAGTATCACCAGAACTACATTACAGGAATGCAGCCAGAGCTTCTAACATAGAAAAGAAACCCAGGAAGTATCACCAAAACTCCATTACAGGAGTTGCAACCAGAGCTTCTATCATGGAAAAGAAACCCAGGAAGTATCACCAAAACTCCAATACAGGAATGCAACTAGAGCTTTTAACATGGAATAGAAACATGGGTTTCATAAGCTGGAAACAAAGTCGAAGGTCATCTATCAAATAAGAAATGAACAATCATAAGGCACGTAAGACCACCAGAAAACACAGTTTCTATTCTTCTTTCAAGCGGCAACATCATGGTCACACTGTCATGACTGGTGTGTCTCTGCTATTCACCTCATAATCAGTTTACATTATTGTCATATCAACAACTTTATCTATGAACTAACAAGGATGGACTATTTTCTCGCTATAGCATAAGTACTATTCATGAAGTTAAATTAAGAAAACGAAACTATAATGAATAAGTACTCATGTCAATTTTGAACGTAACAGATAGTACTTCCAAGTATTCTTGTCATATCATTAACCCCTAGGATTTCAATTTAGGGCTTCCACAGTTAACATTGGGACCGAGCAGAGGGGCAACCGAATGTTATCATCTCAAAATAACGGGCAAAGGGACACAACATCTGGAGCAACAACATGGTAACCAATCCATATCCATCTCGGTTAGTATCAGTCACTACAAAGTTCCATTCTAGGACTCCATTTATGACTGTCTTCACAAGATAGAGCAGAAGGGTAACCGGAATGATTAAATAATTACTGGAATTTCGGACAGACAACGTTCTTACTCAAACATGGTCACCAATCCTTGTATTTTCTCATTCAGTATTAATCATTTCAAAGTTCCCATCTAGGACTCTAGTAAGGGCATCACCGAGTAGGATAGAGCAGAAGGGCAACTGGAATGATTCAGGACAATTTCAACTTTAGGGACAACGGGACACTTGCGGACCAACTTTCTTTCTCAAACATGACCACCAATCAATGGATTTACTTGGTTTCAAATAAGCATTCCAGAATCCCCCTCTAGGACTCCAGTAGTAGTTTCCACTTTACTAGATAGAGCAGAAAGGTAACTATAGTGTCTAAAAGATTGATTCAACCAGCATCAACATGGCATTAGATAACCATTTGTGATCACCATACTACAAAGGGTACACAAGGTGACATTGATTGAATGAAACATTGCAGAATTCAATTTTACTTTATCAATTGCAATCTGCAGAACTTGAATGAAGGAAATCCTCAGGTGAAAGAATATGGTGCATGCAAATGGCAACATAAATAATAATAATCAAACAGCCATAATCAGGCATTGTAGACCAACAACAAGATGCAAGATAATCATTCACATGCTATTGCAGTAAGCGCATCATTGAGCAAATCAAGGCGCAGCTCTTAGATTTTCCATCTGGATTCAAAAAATATAGGCAACAGGGAAGGGCAATAGGGATCATACCAGATAAAAGATTTCCCCACCATGCCAAACATGGACCATTCAACTCATGTAATAGATCGTAGTTGGAAAACACCTGGCATTCCCCATCAACCCTCCCGACGTAAATATACCTCCAAAATACTCACAAGGTTATATACCTTAACGAGTGCACAATCATGGCCCCACCCAACCCTAACTGGGCTAATCAAACTAGAAGCCCTAACCTCCGACGTTGTGACTGTTAAAGAACCCAACCAACAACCCGTATATGCAAATCACACCATCGATTACCTGCGTTCTTGTCAAATTTTGCAGATTCCCTGGATGCACCACCCACAATTTCCAAATTAGAAGAAAAAAGAAGGATCCACAACTTGAATATCTTAAAACCATCAGAATTAGGGCAATAGGGCTCATGAAGCAAATAAATAGCAGATTCTGAATCCTTTTACCCACGCAACTAGATCCAACGATAGCAAAGAAAAAATTTCATCAAGCAACAAATGGGTCTCCGCAAAATCTGGATAAGCACATGGCTAGAAGAGGAAAGACAACGAGCAATAAGAAGAAGAGTATAACGATTCCCTCAACGATAAACACCACGAAAACCTACCGTGGGACATCCGCCGCAAAATACCAACACCGATAGAGCGGAGACGCGGTCTCGTAGTCAGAGAGGCACCACTACTCTCTACTCGTCACTAAAAACGATCCCAAAGAAGCAACCCGCCGGCGCCCCCTTTTGCCGCAATATCTCATGTCGGACGCGCGTTTAAACAAGGAGGAACTCAGCAAGCAGCAGATGAGAGGTTACTTAGTTAATGAGATGCTGGTTGGTTACCTTACCTATATATAGCAATGGCAAATTGGAACGTTAGATGCTGGTTGGTCAACCCGCTTGCGCTACACGTAATTAGCGAACTGAGCACTAGTTGGGCTCTTCAGGTTCACAAAATTGGGCTTCAAAATTTAAGGGAAATAATTAGGCCCAATGTTATCTTTTCCTTCACAGCCACTCCACCCTATATTCCACATTAACTTTCGCTGTTTTTTTTTTTTTTTTTTTCATAGATAGATGAATAACATAGTCAGAGAACAGTACACAACCAAACGCGCCAGTCGACAAGTAGTCGAACTGCCGATGAAAGGGCCTTTTGTGCCACTAAATGGGCAGCCCTGTTGTACCTGCGAGGAGTAAAAGTACAAGAAAACACCGAAAAAGAAGACACAGCCACCCGAATCTCCTCCATAATTGCACCACCCCGTCCATGTGCAACATCTCTCTCCCGTACGGCCCGTATCAACATTTGGCAGTCCCCGCAAAAGTTCACCACAGGAAAACCATGCATTAGACACCAGCTTATCGCGTCACGTAATGCCAACAGTTCCATGATAAAAGGGTCATCAATACCTAGGTAATGTTTCCCTAGAGCAAACATTAGGCTTCCATTAGCTGTTTGAGATCAAGATAACAAATATTTTCTACAAACAAGTATATCCTAAATATAAAAAATTCCTTTGCATCAGATATAAGAAAACAAAATATTTTAATTGATTAAAAATAGAAATTTTCAAATTATATTTCTTGAACTATCTACACAATAAATAAAAGCCAAATGAGAAAACTTGAAACTCCATTTCAAATTTCCTGCATTCAGAGTGAAAATAGGAAGGAAATTTTGGTCTTCACAATTACTTTTTTTTATTCATTAAAAAAAATTACTAGGATTCGAACCATGACCAATTTAAAGAAAAGCAACAATTATAACCAATCACACTAAGTACATTTGTTATATCTTTTTAAATTAAACACATATAATCGCAGAGAGGAAAAAACCTTTCCCCCATTTCAAATTTCCTGCTCCATGAGCGTTTGTAGGAAGGGTAGAATAGGGAGTGTCAATTTTTTTTCTTTTTCCTTTGTGGAATGGGCCAACTTACCATACACATGCAAATTTAAACAGTTCCACGAGTGTCAATTTTTTTCTTTAAGTCCTTTTATTTTTTTGGTGGTAAAATATATATGAAAAGGCAAAAACAATACTCTTTTTTATTGCTAAAAAGAAAAAAAAAATTAACAATAAACTAATGCATGGATTCTAATGGGCTAACCGCTAATTATAAAATAAAAGAGTTGAATGGGTTTGACCTACACGGGATTTGCCCATCAAGTAAAACAAATGAACATCATGGGTTTTCCATTCTAAAACAAGCTATTTTCTCTAGCATAATATATATTATGCTATTATTTTAAATCTTAATGGCTAAAATATAATGTATTTTAAAGTTATTCAATGGTTCAACCTCGACCAACCCAATTAGTCCAATTTTTATCATTTCAAATATATATTATGTAATTATTTGATATCATAATGATTAAATTATAGTGTATATATTATAGGGAATCGTTTGGTATTTGTTAGTAAAAAACTAAACAAAAAGATCTATTTGGCTATTTTTAACATTAAAATGATCCTAAACATTTTCAGTTTCCTTTCGAAATTCTATAGTTTTATTCCCAAATCAGTGATTTGCAAATGGCGAATTGCAGTCATCTCTTTTCTTTCATTATTTGTTATTTTCAAATAGAAAGTTTAAAAGTAAAGAATAATTAGAATTTGGCATGGGTCGGTCAAACAGGCTGAATTTCAAGTTTTGGCCCGTTTTGATCAAGTCTAATTTATAATCACATGGTTCCCTGATACCCGATAAAAATCTCAATCCAAACCAGTTTTGCAGGTGAGTCCGTGTTTACCACCATTTTCTAGGGATACAGGAACGGTGGTTCCTATCCCAAATCGTGTTGTTCATTCTTGATTTCTTTAGATTTATCATGGCTTGGCAAAAAAACAGAAAGCACAATGATGACAAGATGAAAGTTTTATAAAAACAAATTAATCGGCCAACGGGCCGAGTAAAAGCTAGCAACGATTGTGAGATGCTCATTTCCCGAAAACCGGCGGGATATGCGATTTTTTATTCGATTTTCTGGAATTTGGTTTCTATAAAACTTACTCCACCTCATCATATTACCAGAAACAATATTGTTTCACAAGATAACAGGTACTTGATTTTGGTTCATAAAGCTGATTTTTTATTCGTTGCATCATTCATGTCTCTATCCTACTAAAATTCACTATTTTTATCACGAGTTCTCCAAATAAAACTATACAACAATAAGCTATACACCCCATTACATTATCAAATTTCATACCTCACCTTCCTCCGGCCAAATGGCCGGGCCCACGCTATTACATTATCAAATTTCATACCTCACCTTCCTCCGGCCAAATGGCCGGGCCCACGCTAGTACAAAATAAGCGAAATTGATGTGGTACTATCTATGACTTCAGAAACGCTGCATTGACATGAGTGGCAGAGGAGAGGAAATGGTTACTCATTTCACATTGATCATAAAAAGATTTTGATGAACAAGAGGAAGCCAAGCCAACGTTCAAAAAATAAGAAAGATGAAGCGTACTGGTATCTGTCCCACACCAAAGTGCGGAACATCTAAACCTTATGCAACATCTGATATTGTGAAACAAAGACAATTTAGAGAAGCATTGAACAATGCTGATGGTCAGGTTGATGCTAAACTTCAGCTACAGCCAATTATTTCCAACCATTCCCAACATTCAAAAGGTGTTGGCACAATAGTACAAGTCCCTTGCGCGCACCAATGTAGTAACCTATCGATCTTGATCGCCAAGCTCCTCTTGAAGATTGTTATACGGGTATACTTTTGGTGCCTGCCACCGAAAGCAACGACAATAGCCATGAGTGATTGCGTGAGGGTAAACATAACGGGGCAGTCATGTAGCAAAAGCAATTTCCACACAACTGGAAGTCAAGTAAAAATGAGAAACAGGACAGAACAAGTCTGTTTAAGACATGATCAGCAATGCCACTTGACTGTGCACGTTAGAAATAAAAGGAAGTTATAAATCAAATTCCAGAGCACCATAAAACCATCATTAAGGATTCACCTCGTAGCTAAGAAGCATAATAATGTGTTCCTGATGTAAGGGGGAAATGTGAAGGTTAGAATATCCCTCCATATTCCTTGCACATAGCATATTACTCAAAACGTGAGTCACAATTGAAGTTCTATCAGAGGACCTTGTTATATGCTGAGATCACACTGGATAGCATTGCTATTCTTATCATGAAACTCTTAAGGCCTTGTACTGAGCAGTACATGCAAAAGGTGATATTAATTGTGGATCCAGCCAAATTTAATTGACAAACAAGCATAGATGCCTCCACAGAGAGCCTCAACAAACACACGTTATGCTTCTACGAGACAAAAGTCTCCTGAAAGAGACATGCCATTATAACTTGGTTGCTGTTAGATCACAACATTTATGATCACTGATTGGTCTAATCAGCTATGATGATTCACTTCTATTTGCGATCTCATATGCCCTAATCCACATCATATAGTAGACTCTGATCTTTCACAATTGAATAAACCTCAAAGCTCAAATTCGCAATTTAGTAGCCTGTCTGAACCATAAAAGAAAAACAAGTGATACTGCATATCACCATTGTAACAAATATACTAATCCTTCAACATTACATGCACCATAAAAGAAAAACAAGTGATACTGCATATCACTATATGCGTGTGTGGCTTTCTAATACTTCCTAGTTCCTACTGCACTAGTCAGAGAGAAATAGTACATACCAATGCAAAGGATAAACAACGTAACCCATTTCCTTGTATCAAGCAAAAGAAACTACACAACCAGGTGTTTGGCCTAAATCTTCGCTCTTTTGTAAGTTCAATCATACAATCCTTTCCAAATCAAAACAAAACCAGTCAACAACGGGAGCATTTCACCACCCCAACTAGTCAAAAACAGTGGATTCAAGTTCAATCTGCACAAAGTAAGTTTACACTCACGCTACTGATTTCCAACAAATTCAAAATTCTTGATGATGCTGCCAATTGCTAAGGCGAAATGTTCAGAGTCAAGGAAAGTAAATCACGACTTACAAAGGGTATCTTAGATGCTTTGTCATTCCACACAGCCATTAACCCCAATGACGCAAAGAAGCTCAAACCTCCACACAACCAAGCCAAAGCTTCGTACTGCCATCAACAACCCCAAAATTGAAACCAGACACCAAAGGGGTTCAGAAGGAAGCAACAGAATGAAGCAAAAAAACAAATAGAGAAGACACGAAACGAAAGGAAAGCGTTTACCTTTCCAACAGTATCAGCAATTCGATCGATACAAGGCTCTGGAAGGTTGGTACCGTTGTCCCAAACCAATTCGTCATTTACCGCCAGCTGGAATCGAAAACAACAATGAAAGGCACAATCAATCGGATTTAGGGATTCAAGGAATCGCGAAGAAATGGAGAGAGAGATGTAGGGGAGGGGTTACTGACTGGTTTATCGGGGACGATGTGTCTGCCGACGGGGAGTCCCATCCCGGCGCGGCTGCGGAGGGAGGCGGCGGCGGACCGCATCACGACGCCGTTCCCTCCCATGATCCGTGAAGCAAAGTTGCTCAGTCTTCCTGCCATATTTCCTCGCCTAGAGTGTTTCCGTCAATCTGCCTTGCTCTTTCTTGCTTTTGCTCTGATTTGATGACTTGATGGAATGGATCTGGGTTCGTAACGGCAAAGATCAAACGGTGTCGTTTGCAATGAGAAGTGAGAAACTAACTCAAATCATGGGCTGTGTTATACTTTGAGCCCAGACACATTTCACTATTTCAGCTCAAATGAGTCATTGGTAAATGAGATATTTGATTATTGATACTCATATAAGGGTAGAGTCCAAGCTCAAAAGGATTGTAATGTTGACATCTGTTCCAATTTCTCAAATATCTCTAATAAAATATATATAATTCTATCATCTATAATGCCTTCCATTTTTATCTTATTTCACTTACTTTCCTTCCTATATTGTCGAAAGAAAACTATCCAAATTCCGGAGGGGCAAGCGATGAAGATAGTGATGGAGTGGTTTTGCGATGCTCGTAACTATCCAAGTTTTGGAGGGACAAGCGATGAAGATAGTGATGGAGTGGTTTTGCGATGCATACGAGCGAGTGGTGCTTGGAGCTAAAGGCGCAATGAGTGGGTAGGTTGGGGAATCAGAAAGGGAGGCTTTGGTGGCCTGGAACGATGAAAGAATCGACCAACAACGAACAATTTTATATGGATGGCAAATAGAGGTGGGGATCGAAGGAGGCAGCGAGTGGTGTTGGCTGGACAAAAGGGTATTTACAACATGAGGTGATCTTAGAATGAGAATAAGAGCCGGTGATCAATCGAAACTTCATAGACGGAGGTTCCTTAAACCCTCTTTTCACATATATTTAGATCGACGTAAATATGAGAGTTCATCTTGTGACTAATTTGGCCCCCATGACAACTCTTTTCACAGGTTATTCACAGTACAATTTTTTTTTTAATGTGTTTCAGTCCACATTTGATTTCTCTATCGTTAACAACAACCCCATTAGCATATCAAAGAGGGCATAGAATAGAAGCACTCTCTTCTTCACTGAATTCTTGTAAAGAAAAACTCCCCCGATCAAAGCATTCTCAACTACGTGGAATACCAAAGCCAACTACGGATGACGTGGGAGACAGAAACACTTGCAAACTACGCAACTCCTCGTTTCGTTATATGTACACATGAATCTCCCAAATGACTTACAAGTTACTACTCTCATCTTAAACCTCCAACTGCCTCTGCAACTCGAGCAGAGTCTTGGCCGAGTCCCTCAGCCGCTGAACCTCCTCCTCGGTCATGTGCACATTCGTCACCGCCAAGGCGCCGCCTCTCCCCAGCAGAGCCGGCAGGCTCAAGAACACCTCCCCTCCTTCGCCAGCGGCTTCGATGCCGTGGAACCCATTGGCCATTACGGTGACCGGGTGGATCTTCCTCTGGTTTCGCAGGATCGAAAACGCCAGATTCGCCACCGAATACCCGATCGCCCACGACGTGTAACCCTTCAAACTGATCACCTCGTACGCGGAACCTACCACCTCCTTGTGGATCCTCTCCAGCGTCTCCTTCTCGCACGAGATCTGCTGCTTCTCCAGGAAGCTCAGGATCGGCACCCCGCCCACGCTTATGCTCGACCACAGCGCCACTGAACTGTCGCCATGCTCCCCCACTATGTACGCCTGCAGGTGAAAAGGGTTTGGAGTTTTCAATTCCTGGGACTAAGTGGTTTGTTCGTTAATTGGTATCCGATCTTTCAATTGGGAGGTTGTGATTTCGAATTCTTATGACGACCCAATATAAACAATGTATGTTCTTGCAAATCCAATTGAGACTAAATAGTCCATGGACCTCAATCCAATGAACTGTTGGTTTTACCTGGACGTCCTGGGCATTGACATCGAGATGGTCAGCGATCAAGAACCTGAACCGGGAGCTATCCAAGTTAGTGCCCGACCCGATGACCCGATTCGAGGGGAACCCGGAGAGCTTCCACGCTACATAAGTGAGCACATCGACCGGATTGGAAACGATCAAGAGAATGGCGTCGGGGGAAAGCTGGGCCAATGGAGGGATGATCTTCTTAAAGAGGCCGACGTTCCGCTGAAGAAGATTGAGCCTGGATTCTCCCGGGTTCTGGCGGGCGCCGGCGGTGACGATGCAGAGGTCAGATCCGGCGGTGACGGAGTAATCGGTAGAGGAGAGGATCTGCGTGCGCGGGAGGAAAGCAGCGGCGTGCTGGAGGTCGAGCATCTCGCCGCGGAGCTTGTCTTTTACGGCGTCGACGAGGGCGAGCTCGTCGGCTAGGTCCTGGGTGAGGATGGTCTGCGCGATGGCCATTCCGACGTTGCCGACCCCGATGACGGAGATCTTGGTGTGCCGCTTTGTGGGGGACGGAGGGGCCGTGTTCTGGATCGGCTTGAAGAAGGACTGGGTTAGGTCCAGGCCGCCCGGACCCAGCGACGAAGTTGAAGTCACTTTGTGCATTTTGGCTGGAGGAAACTGATTGAGATGGAAATTGGTGGAGACTGGAGAGAGAGAGATCAGAGTTTTTGATTTTGATTGTTTGATAGGATTGAAGAGAAGAGAGCCGCGGGGATTTATAGCAATGGCGGGGGACGGAGGAATTTGGGGGAAGAAGAAGCAGAGTTTTCTTTCTGTGTGATTTGTTGGAATGGTCAAAATGGTCTGGAAGAGAAGGACTAAGTTGAACACTTTTTTCCGCCGAAAAAGTACGGGAGGCTCACTGGGGCCGTTGATGCTGCATCAGATGCCACGCGTCATGAGCGGATCCGATCGGGATCGTGAGAAAGAAAAGGCGAGCGACAATGCAAAGGCATGTCGCGCAAAATTTACAATCTAGCGCACGAGCAAATCACGTGGACTAGTGGCTTGCCGCGCGCTCCAAGTACAATATTTTAATTGCTCCCGCCAGGCCTGTGACTGAGCAGAGAGAATCTTGTCGTTTTAGCTTTCGGCATCTGCTAATACCGTCGTTTTGTTTACCTGCTAATTACATCGTGCCTATTTCACTCTTGCAAAAGTTTTTTTTGGTCTAAGTTCCTTCCTATGGTGGAAGGTTCTCCGAGGCAAGCAATGCAATTTCCCGTTAAGACGCCTAAAGAGCATCATTGAAACTTTGACAGGAAGGAGGAGTTCCATTCCACCTCCAAAGTCATTTTGCATGTCCATATTATTCAAGCGACACGTTGTTTGATCGGTCCTTTCATCCCACAACACAAGTCTCCTGCTGCCAGTGAAAACCAGGTGCTGTGCCTGTGAAAACCAGTCCTCATGGTCGGACTCGGTCGACCCCCTGTTTTATGATTTTATCATTACCTTCACCGCATGTGCATCCCATTCACATCTCCAAGATCCAACTTGTATATATTTGTTACTACTCCTAGATCCTATTTTACATATGTATCCAATATTTGTAGCTACAGAAAAACACCCAAGTGTAACACCTCAAAAAAATTATGTGATTTCAATGTTATCTGTTTTTAATCTAGTTTCATGAATGGGGTGAGATAGCATGACTACCTCTACAAGGGTTGGATAAATGACACTTCATATTAATTATAGGATTTTAAGGTGATTAATTTGTATTGCATTTAATAATATGTCTGAATTAAAAATTTATATTAATTACTTTAAATGGTAGTGGTAACTGTGTACAAATGGAATCATAGTTATATCAGTACAATGATAGTTAAGAAAAATGAATGTAATTGATATGAGTTCAGTGTACAGGTACAATGATAGTTGTATAAGTGCAATGGTAGTTAAAAAAAATATAATTAATAGGAATTTTTAATTCTCAAAAATTATTGAATACAACACAAATTTAATGTTGAATTAAATCTTACAGCGTACGAACTTTTTTCATGTTTTCTTGTTATGCGATTTATTTAAAATGTTACATGCAGTTTGTCTAATTTAGTAATTTTAGTCTGTCTTGTAGATTAAAAAAAATAACATGTACAAAAATGTTGAACCCTTTTGTTTTAGGCTTTTAGCTCAACCCCAACTTACAGGCCCAAACTCTGGCGCAAGCTAAAAAGAGGGGCTCATAATTTCTTGTTGAGCCTAAACCTGGAGCCCAGCCCAAAGTCCATCATTCGCCCGAGAACACCCGCTCGATCCCTTCGTTGCCTTCCACCACCAAAGTCAGAACGCCGGCCATTTTTTTACCCGGGAGAGCGACGAGATAGGAAGAGAGCCGGCCGGGGAGGCGGAAGATTCACGCGATGGAATCCAAATTGGAAGCAGAAATGGCGGAGCTGGAGCGGGTCCAAAACCGGATCCTCCAGCGGATAGCCAAACTCGAGCTCGCCCTCCACCTCCCCAACTACCTCCATGAAGACGAACTAACCCAACTTCACCCGCCGGCGTCAAATTGCTGCCGGGAGACCAACGCCGGCGTCGCGACGGAGGAGCGCCTCTCCTCCATTCTCCGTTCCAACGGCGTTACTGACTTCGCTTTCAAGCGAGTCCCATCCGATTACTACGATTGGCCGTTCGAGTCGCGCCGCGACGTCCTCGGCGCCGCCTCCATTCATCACCTCTGCAAAAGCATCGTCCTGGTACGCGATTCTTCCGCTTCCTATTGATGGAAATTCGACGAGTTAGGTCGCCAGATTGGGGGAATTTACTTCAATTGAGTTTTTTCTTCAGGTTAATACGCAGGCGGCATCGAATGTAATTGATTGCAGCGATCGCAATAACTCCAAGTATTACGTTGTTGTAGTTCAGGTATACCATGCTTGCTTGCTTGAGCGCCTAACTTTAGCCAGCCACTACTCTATAACTGGAACTGTCTGAGCTCTGTGATATGTATTATTATTTGCAGTATACAGCTAAGTTCAATGCTGAATCTGTTAAGAACTATCTGTATGCACTCAACGAAGGCAAGGTAGCAAAGAAGAAATTCAACAGTAAGCTCTGAATTAGTTTATACTACAAATCAGAGTTCATGTTGTTGTCTCTTCCTTTGAATTATTCTGCATAATGATACAATTGATGTTCTTTGAATCATGAATGCAGTGAGGCTTGCACCGGAAGAGACGTCTTTCCAGCTGACCGGGTTTGAGCACAATGCAGTTACATGCGTCGGCATGAAAACCGACATACCAGTAAGTTTTCTATGAACAATTGTCTTCGAGTGTCTAAACATGCTGCTGAAACACTGAGTTCTTACAAGTTACACCCCCTATTTCATCAAATTCCTCCTTTGGTGGTACACTTTCCTGTCATATTGTTTGTCAATGTGAGGACGTACGTCTAGCTTGCTTCAGTATCTATGGGAAAAATAATCATAAGTGTGCATCAGTAATCCATGTAACCAAGAAGTAAAAAAGATTCAGTAGCCGGAATTGTGTACCAGAGCTCTCCTTAAAATCGTCGGTCCAAGGCCTCCTGCACTACACATGCACTTGTAACATGTTTTAGGGACACTCCAGCTTGAAAGTCCTGGATTTTGCTCGGATCTGGAATAGCATAACCTTGTTGACCCTTTGGGTCTTGTTGTCGAGTGTCTATAACAATAGTGTCCTACTCATGGTCTCTGTGGGTTGTTGAATAACAAATGTTGCTGGAGAGAGAGTCAGAGTGCAGCAGTAATGAACTTTTTTTCTCTCTGAGAAATGATAGAGGAAGTAGCATGCCAGCTATTAGTGCTCCACTGTCCAAATATCATGTCTGTCGAAATTGGGTTGTTAATCCAGAGGTCCACCATTCATTCCACTACCTTTGATTGCTACTTCGATGATTTGCTGCCAGTCTGCCATTTGAGGAAACATAGCATTGACATTGAAAGTTGAGTTGTTTGCTTAAACATAGATGGACAGAGGTAATTCGGACAGCAGGCTACAAATGAATGGATTTTGACAGTTAGTATGTATTTATCTGTTTTATAAGCATGTGATCTCAGAATAGACAAAAGTTAGATATGTTGTTTTGATGTCTGAATTGCGATCTGATAATTGTTTGAGGTTAGCATGTATCAGCTGCAGCACTTCTTGTTTCTCCCTCGTTTTTTGAATTAGCACCATTCACTGTTGCCAATCATGGTGTTTGATCTCATCAGGTGATTTTGGACGAAGCAATTGTGAAACTGCACCCCGATTACTTCTGGTTGGGCGGTGGCGAAGTTGATCTAAAGCTTGGGATACGGACTCCCCAATTCATCAACGCCGTTAAGCCATTCGTATTCAGCTGCAGTAGTAGCACATGACTAGCCCCCTGCAGCAGATTGTTTCCCTGGTTAATTTTTTACAAGACAAAGGATTCCTGATGAGGAAATGGAAGGGCGGTGTTCACCAATTGGTTTCCCAGTTCAAGAAATGAAGTTAGTGCATCTGTAAGGCTACATCTTTTCCGTTTTCAGAAGTTTCTGCAGTTGTCGATACTTACTGTAAGAGGTCATGAATTTGAGTAGTAGAGAAAGTGTCTGTATTCACAGCATTTATCTAATATTTCTGTTCGATGATCTGCTGATGATAAGAAAGGTGCGTAGGAGGCCCTTTCTTGTCTTGTGCCTAATTGGATACAGAAGGGAATGGAGGAACTGATTCTTCACAACTTGGTGCTGTTGGGAGTTGGACAAAGAAACATGATGGTCAGCCATGGCGGTAGACCCATGTCAAGTTTGTCTGTATGGTACCATTAAACATCATGTGTTGAGCCATTAACTTCCCCAACCACCGTATCATTTGCCATTCTCTTTTGTGGTAGGTTTGTAGCATTGCTTAATTATTATTTAGAACCTAGCTACAACCATTCACTTGGTCATATAAGTAAGGGCGAACAAGATTTGTTAGATTTGCTTGTTTTATCGTAAGGTGCTATTTAACACATTCAAATTTGGAATGATGACACGTGATAGTATTAATAAACTATATTTTTGTTCGCTGGCAATATACAATGATACGGCTGTCGGCTAGTTATTTGGTCCCGGTTTTTTGGGTTTACCTGAAACCGGACTGTATAATTGGGACCGGAACCGGATAGCAAACAATCAACTCTCATTTTCGGGCTTAGATTTGAGGTAAAAAATCGTTCGGGTATCGAAAATCGGATAAAGACCGGATAAGAGAGTCCAACACCCAAAACTTAACAACTCCTCACCGTTTGAGGTCTCAGGCCACTCAAATTTCCACAAGCTCAATCTAAAATCAAAACTGAATTGGGACCGGACCGGGTCAAGACCGAACCGAATCAAGTCCGGACTATATCCAATCCAATTTTTGGCCCTTATATTTCCGAAAATACCAGACCACATCGTATAACCACCCCTATACAATGATACTACTTAATGTCAAGAATGTCTAATTAATATGTACATATGTGCTAGGAACAAGAACTTTATCTAGCGGTTCTATAGTTGATTTTTTTTTTTTTTTTTTTTACCTGGAGATCTCGAAAAATTTCCCTAGTGTGATTAGTTCATTTTCAACATTGCTAACGCCTGATCATCAACTTCAAAACGTACATATATATCAATCCATGATACAAAATAACATTTTTTAGAGTGGATTAATGGATATATATACCTCAAAAGGAATCTTTGGTGGAATGCTGAAGTCTCTTGTGTGAGTGTAATATACCTTATTAAACACCCATACCACAACTTTGTTGGTCAAGAAAACAACTTCAGGAAATATTCATCAAACAACAAAACTCGTCTTGGCAATTAACATGTTACAAATTTGAGATATGCAGCTAGCTAGCCATTTCTATAAGCTAGCTATATAGGCAACAGTACTCAATCAATCATATATGTGTAGAAAGGAAATAAAAACAAAGTTATGCAGCAGCAGCAGAGGGATTACATGTATACGTAATCACAGCCCTTGGATGGTGTTATGTAATTAGGGAAATATATATATGGGAGCTTAATCATTTATGTATTCTTTTTTGATGATTTTTCATTGTGGATTGGTGGCTTTCGATGGGGCTGCGCATAGTCCATCACAACAACACCACTGCTCTCCTGATCATCTGCTGCTGCTGCTGCTGCCTCAGCATCGTCATCAGTGTAATTGGCCTCTTTTGACTGATCATCTCCACCATTACTATTATTGTCTTCCTTCTCCACCATTAGCACTCTCCCCATCCTCTTCCTCATTCCCTGTGTACAGCATCAATCATCATCATATATTCAGAGAGATTACTTATACGCGATAATGCGTGCTCAAATCTCCCCCAATAATTCGAGTGAATCAATCTAACATTCTAAGATCCCGATGGATTAATTATTAAGCTCATGAATCATCATGACGTGCATCAAAGCCATTAGCAATTATATGAATGTTGATCATAAGGCTTCATATTATTATCAGCTAGTTATATAATGCTCCCTATAATTTAATGTTGAACATATACTTATATTATGCCAACCTTTCTACAGATAGAATGAAAACAACTAGTAGGTCAGTGCTTACCACTAATAGGTCGTTATTATTCTGATCTTCCTGCTGCTGCTGCAAACCATCCCTAGGACGAGCAATTAGTGGACCAGCTGCATGTGCCATTAACATTGTCACTACGTATGCATATATATAAACAAACCACAGTTTATTGGCATCGATCTAATCATGTTGCACAGACAAATTTACCCGCAGTAATTTCCTTGGTGAGAATGGGTGTGAAAGGGTTATTAATGCGCTTGACGGCGGTATTGATTGCACCATTTTGGAGGCTTACACCTTCCTGCACCAGCAAATATCAACATTTATTCGCATCTGCTTCTTCTCATCCAGTGAATTTGATTTGGACCCACATTTTACAAGTGAAATCGATCGCGTGTGGTTAATTAAATATTAATTGCATACCTTGGGAGGATACTGATTGTTGGGTGAGCTTTCTGCTTGATCAGTACTGTCAATGAGACTCAGCAGGTACCGAGCGTCGCATGCATGCATCGAAAGGGAGACGACGATCAGAAGGCAGAGGAGAACCACCTGGGACGACATTGTATTGGTATATGTGAGAGCACCAAAAGGAAATCTTTAGCCAAATGGGACAGTACTGTTTTGGTTGCTGCTAGGGTTACCTGTGGATCGAGTCGAGAGAAGAGGATCTCGAAGCTATTTATTGCATGGGAAGTTCAGCAGAGAGAGAGAGAAATAACTGCAAAAGAAAAACAAAAAAATCATTTATTGCCGAGGGATCGGAGGCGCTACTCTTTAAGGAGAGAACATGCAGATGTTTGGGGTAAGACAGAACAGAGCCCTAGAAAGAAAGAAAACAAGATTCTAGATATTTGGCGGGCCTCCTTTTGTCTCCGGCCCCCAACGCCACTTGTTCGTTATTTTCTCTTTTGTTGAGCTCTCGAAACAGAAACCGTTGTAGATCGGCCTTTGTTTTCTTCTTCTCTATTCTAGAGATGGACATTCCGAATGGAGGGTAACTTCCTTTAGGAATTAAGGCACCACCCGCACTGGCGGATTCAGAAAATTTTCGCGGGGTGTTCTCTTCAAAATTTAAATTTAATTATATAATAAATTAAATCATTCATATATTAAAAATATCATACTTGTATAATTTGTATAAATTTTTTATTAAATAATAAATTAAAATTCATATTTTGAAAAAATAATATAAATAAACTCCGTGTCTGCACTGTTAGAAAAAATCTACATATCCTACTAGACAATACTTCACGAACTTATCACATATTCGATTTCTAACCTTGTTCTTAATGTAGCTCAAAATAGAAAAGACTCTTTCAACACTTGCCGTGTAACCATAAAATCAATTCAAAATTAAGGGTAGCGTGTACGTAGTTTAATTATTAGGTATTGAAAATAGTTGGGGATAAAGAAATAGCGTTTTACTGTTGCATGATGTTTAAAATATATTTTCGGGTTGCAAATGAGTCAAACTGCTGCTCATGAGTGACTCAGGGGAAAAACTCTTTCGACGCTCACCTTGTTTACTAACCGAGCTTGAAGTGACAAGTCATGTTCAGCTCGCAAGGCTCGTGACCCAACTCGATCGATCCGGTGGGTACTCGTGAGCTAGCTCGTTTTGGGCTATGAGCTGGTTCGTCACTCGACAGTACGACTAACTAGCCACCTCAACGAGCAGCTTATGAGCAAATCGATTAATAACTTATCGTTTGGTTTGTTGATAATTTATAAATTTGTGAGATTATATATCTTATGATGTTCATATATCAAACGACAAACATGAAGTGCTATTGGACAATCCAAGTACAACATCAGTAATTCAAGAAAATGAGCCTTGTATGTTAGTGTCTACCAAGATCATTAGTACGAGGCCTTTTGGGGAGGATACCAAAAAATAAGACCGTGCGGTATTGACCTAAATGGACAATATCATACTAATGGGCCCTTGTAGAGGTCGTTTGCTTGTAGGATTTTGATGAGAGATTTTGCCTCAAAATCCCATATGTAGGGATGTCAATTTCGACCTGACCCGATTTACCCGACCTGTTTGACATGTTTTGGGGCGGGTCAAACTCGCCCCGTAGGCGGGGCGGGGCGGGGATGGATACCTCTCATCGACCCGACCTGCCCTGACCCGCCCCATTCTCGACCCGTTCTTGCCTAAATTACATATAATATTAGTCAAATTACTTAAGATTTTCCTCTTATTACATTATATTTTAGCTATAATAAAGTTGTAAATAAGTGAAAACCTCAATTTCTTCAATAATTTAACTACATTTTATCATATTATGGTTTCTTTCTTGGTCTTTCAATGAAAAGAACGAATATTTCTACTGTTTTTCACATAAATTACATACCCAATGGGTCGACCTGCCCCGACCCGCTTCCCGTGATAAATTACCCGACCTGGACCCGACCTGCCATGGGGCGGGTATGGGTATCGAGATACCCGCCCTGGACCTGCCCCATTGCCATTCCTACCCATATATGTTGGATTATGGTCCAAATCCATGTTTGTTGATAAAAATGAAGTTGACCTAAATCCGTGGAGCCCACAAATGTGGGATTTTCTTTTGCTCAAAATCCGTGGACCCCACGGATTATAAAATCCCACCTCATGAGGTAAGATTTTGAGAAGTGCCAAAATCCGTGGACCCCACTAACTCTGAATGACCAAAGTATCCTTAACAAAAAAAGAAAAATACTTTATGATGATAGGACTAAGGATAAGAAGGTAAACTCATCATTTAACCCATAAATCCAAGATAATAAAGTCCATTTTGAAATCCAACAAGCAAACATGCAATTGTTAAAATCCAACACAAATCCAACATAGCAAAATCCAACATAATCGTTCAATTCCAAAATCTAAGGTTTTACCAAAATCCTTCCTTTTTTAAAATCCCACAAGCAAACGACCGTGTCCACCAATCTCATTAGTACGAGGCCTTTTGGGAGGATATCCAAAAATAAGACCGTGCGGGATTGACCCAAAGCAGACAATATCATACTGATAGAGCTATCGACACGAAGGTATGCAATTTCAAGTGGACTATGGTCTTCATTTTCTTGTTTATTGCTATGCTAGCCGTATGGTGACAATTGTGATTCCGGGTCAACAATTGATGTAACCACTTACCCTTTCCTGCTTTCTAGGGCTCGATGAGCTAACCCTTCCATACAACTACCGAACCACCTACAAATAATACAAAATTCTTGGCATGTATCAAATCAGTTTTTCGGCAATAACACATTCAAATATATTAATAGACTATTAAACTTATCATTTGCCGACCAATTATATACAGAAGAGATATAGCACACATATGTATACATTGCATGCAGGAACAGGCCACATTGACATTCAATGAATAATGACCTGAAAGAACACAGGATCGAGAAAAGGAAGGAAAAAAAAAGGAAAAAGTTAATTTGTATGAAAGCCTGAAATAATCTAAGCGATGTAGGAACTAGACAAAGGGCAGTGAATCATCATCTTTAACTTGGGTTGCCGGTTTTTGTTGATATCACCATTCATTGTCGAACATTGTAGTATATATGCACACTTGTTTTATTATCAATATTCTTTCGTAGTTAGTATTCTTCACGTACATATGAGTATAATGTGATGATTAGATTAGAAATCTCCATCTCCAAAATCAATACTCGACTATATATTGAGTCACACTCACACTTACGGCCACTAATAGTTATCTCCACTGGATTTATTGTTAGGGTTTGGAGACAAGATTAGATTCATGTGTAGTGTATCAAAATTATGTAAGCTGCAAAGTGAAAGGGCCGACGCCACACTCACTCCATAAATTATGCCACATTGTCAGTCCTTAATTAGTGGAACATATATAGGGAAATTATCGGATTAATTATTATGCAGAAAGGAAAGGTTATTGATCATGAAGATGATGCCAAAAGAAAAGACCACAAAATGTTTGTGTGAGAGAGAGAGAGAGGGCAGTAGGCTAGTAGGGGAATATGGGCCTAAGTTTGATGAGAAAGTGGGACGGTGGGGACTGACCGGACCAGACCAGACCGGCGACAAAGCTGCATGGGCTCGAACCCTCGCTTGCCCCCTGCACTACTCTCTTCTTTGGGCCCATTGCATGTCAACCCCATGTGCTTTTCATGCTCATCCTGCCCTGCCGCCATAGCAACGCCAAATAGCCATATTGCACTCTTCGACCCAGGGAAGGGATATCTACTAATGTATATGATTACGCATACACAAGGCAAGAGATCGCTTGCGTACGTTATGGCTCATGTCTTGTTGGGATGTTTAAGAAACAAGAACAAGAAAACTAAGACTTTAAAGCGAACGAATAGAACCTTTTGTTGGATGGATCATCCTAATGACATCTCGTTTAATGGGTCGTTTGGCTGGCTAGATTTGGGTAATGAATTTGATATATGAAATCTCAAGTTTGATGGATTTAACCCAAAACTGTTGTTTGTTGATGAGTATCAAATGCGTGGGTTCGCGATTTTTTCTCTTTATTTTGGATCCGAATCTGTGAACCCTACACGCTTTTAAATCCCACATATTGAGTTGGGGTTTGTAAATCGCTAATGGCTAATGATATATGTAATAAATTCATCATAAATACTAGATTGTACTCCGGTCCGTTGGCCGATTGCAATATGATGACGTTAACTAACAAAGCTTCAAAGGTTAAATTTCAGTAATCTTCACTTCTCTCATATTCATGCCAGGATTATATGTCAATGTCATGCAAATTAACAAATAACTATATCAATTTTGACCAAATAGCAAGCTAGTTTCTTAGTTTTTATCATTAAGAAATTCAAATTGGCTGAATTACACGTTTGGTCACTCGAATTATACGAATCTTTCACGTTTGCCACCCGAATTATTTTTGTTTCTTATTCGCCACTAATTTTACGAATCATTTCACCATTAGTCACCGACCGTTACACTCCGTTAAATTTGTCATACGTGGCAGTCAACTTTAAGTTCGACCGTTAACTAGATGACGTGGAAAATAAGAAAAATAAAATTAATTTATTTGTCCAACTCATCATTCCACTTACTTAGTGTATATTATTATCATATTATTTATTTAATAAAAGTTAATTAAATTACAAAAACAAATAATATGATAAATTTATTCTCCACCAGTCAAGTTCCGATGGAGGAGATTGTCGTTGTACGCAGCCGCCGATCTCGGTACATCTTCAGTGCCGTTCATCTTCTTCTACCCTGCCACGAGTGTTGGACACGTGAAAGGTGAAAGGCGGAGAAAAAAACTCGCCAGGAGCCAATGCAATCAAAAGCGCGATTCTACCTAGAAGCGGAAAATAGGTAAAATAGTAAAGCGTAGAATCAAAGCGTAAAAGCGTAAGTTTTTTACGCATGCTATAAAATAGCTAAAAATTTCTGTTTAGTACGACACATACTATGTAAAATATAAGTATACGTAATTTACATAATTTAATAAGCACCTGCAAATCATGTCTAATGTAGAGAAACTTATAGCATCTTAACAATAAGTTCATAAACATTGATCTTAACTATAAGTCACCTTCCCCTTTATGCTAATGAATTTAGGAAGGGCCTAGCTGGTGAATTAGATTACTCTATTGAAACTGAGAGTGCATCCAAATACATTGTATGTATCTTTTAATTTAAAATGTATCATATTGTTGGTGATTTAACTTTAAACTGTACTTTTTATTATTAATTTCATGAAAAAAATACTCATTTGGTGAAGTAGAAGCGTAAAAGCGTAAAGCGTTTTGGTGAGCTAGAAGCGTAAAAGCATAAGCTTTTAAGCTTTAAAGCGCAATTTAGTCTGATTTTATACACTAAAGATTTTATATAGAAACTAAAGCGATTTGGTGTCCTAAAAGCGTAAAACCGTAAGTTTTTAAGTTTTAAAGCGCGATTTTAACTGCATTGCCAGCAACATCGCCGGACCGGTAAAGCGATTGACGCGGACAGAGCATGAGGAGGTCGCCGCCGTGGCAGACCGGCGTCAACAGGCACTTCCACCTTGGCGACCCGATGTCAGTGACAAA